CCTAGCAATTGCAAGCTCTGGGCTCATGCGGAAAGTGAAAGATCAAGGACGGGGTGCCTAAATCTGAGATTACGAGCACAAAAGAGACCCAGGGCTCCCACAACCCCTGCTGAGCCCAAGCAACATTAAGGAGAACTTCTTGATTTAAATAGATGTGCGTGAGGGGGAACTGGAACTGAGAGAACTGTGACTGGATGAGCAGAGCTACTGAGACAAGGTGGTAGCGGGGTTTGAGGTCTGAGATTAAATAAAGAGACTAGAGAGCAGTTTGGTCTAAAAATATTTGTAGAGGTTGATTGGGTGCAGGGGAGTGATGATCTGGATGACAGAGGCAGAAGTCAGGGTAGATTTCAATTTTATAGATTTCATAGATTTTTTTTAATAGCAATTGTGACTGGACAAAGAGTGGGAATAAGATTGAGAGGACTGGGATTGGGACTAGGAGGTGTCACTTGAAGGGAATAGACAGAAGAATCTATGCCAGGGGTGGGCAGTTATTTCGGGCAGAGGGCTACTTACTGAGCTTTGGTAAGCCATTGAGGGCCGCATGACAGGCAGCCAGGGGTAGATAAATATTAATTTTGTAATTTTTTTTAGGGGCCCTGCACGCTGGATAGAATGGCCTGGCGGTCCGCATCCGGCCCGTGGGCCACATTTTGTCCACCCCTGATCTATGCCCACTAGAGCACGCTCCTCTTGAGGGCCCAGCAAAGAATCCAAAGTTCCGGCATCTTATTCTTTCAGTGTCGACACGTATGTAAACCTTGCAAGTGGCCTGACCCCCTGCAATGGATACTGCAGCTGCCAGTGTCAGATCAAAATCTATCATACAAACTCCCATCATCTGATTTAAGGACTGAAGTGAGGCTGACCAGTCTGTAGTTCCCTGGATCCTAACCCTTCCCATTCTTAAAAATGGGCACTATATTTGCCCTTTTCTAATAATCTGGGACCTCTCCTGATCTCCAGAAATTTTCAAAGATAATGGCCACCAGCTCATCAGTCATATTGGCCAACTCCCTGAGCACCCTTGGGTGGATCATGTCTGGCCCCATGGACTTGTACACATCCAGCTTTTCTAAGTAGTCCCTAACCCAGGCGTGGGCAAAATTCATCCCGCCAGGCCATTCTGTCTGGCCTGTGGGGTCCCTAAAAAAATGTAGAAAAATAATATTTATCTGCTCCTGGCTGCCTGTCAAAGATGACAGGAGCCAGGGGCAGTAGACCCCAGGGGGAGCCAGCAGCAGGACCCAGCAGCCACAGCAGCAAGCCTGGCCTGGCCCTGCCCCACCCCCAGCCAGAAGCCTCTGCCTAGCAGAGGCTTACAGCCTGGGACTCTGGGGCTATTCCTGCCTCCCTCTGCTGGAGAGGGAAATTTAAATGAGGGGTGGAGGGGAAGCAGGGGCGGACCGTGGGCAATCACCCCTGTCCTCAGGGCTGGGCTGGGCCAGCTTCTGCAGTCCCAGCGCTGCAGCAGTGGGCAGGGGGTAGAGGGGAATGATGGCAGTGGTAGGCAGGAAGGCAGGGAAATGGCTGCAGCAGGCAGGGGTTGAGTGGCAGTGAGCTGGCGCACAGAGCATAGTGACAGCTGGATGGGAGTGCAGGGCCGCACCAGTGTGCCGGGGACCCAGAGTGGGGCGACAGCAGCACAGGGCCCAGGCTGGGAGGGGCTCTATGGAGCCG